AGAAAGTGTTGGAAGAAAAAGTTAATCCAGATAGATATAACAAATGGAACGACTGATGTGTGCGCGTCGTCCAGCTTCATGTTTGCACACGAACTCGCACAAGTTCGCGCATGTTGTTTTAATACGGAACTTGTCAACTGAGTGGAATCATGCAAGTTCTCTGGTGAATGAAACAATTTCGTGCGCGTTTATATCATTTCTTTACAAGTTTTCACGTAGTTAAATCCCCCTAGGTATTTGTTCGGTTTTGGAGTAATAATCTAATGAATATCTGTATGTTACACTTCACTATGACGTTTGACAGAATAGAGAGTTTACTTGATTGTATTGACATTAGCCTTAGATTATCCAGCTGGCGATTGCGCTCAATAACAGTTGTCAAATTCAAAACGAATGGGAGATTTGTTTCAAACAAATATAGACTATCGCTTTTATTCTTCTACATTTCAGATCATGTGAAAGTTGCAGAAATGCTCATCGAACACGGCGCCGATGTCAATGCAATTGGATTTGATAATTGGACACCACTTCAAGTAGCTTCACGAAAAGGTTTTGGTCATGTTTTGACCATATAACTTTTGATTCAAACCTTTACTATCGAGCAAAGATAATCTTTGCCAGAACAATTGTTATGTTCTCATTTTAGGTTCGGTGAAAGTATCAGAAGTCCTCATCAAACACGGTGCTGACATTAGTGCAAAAACAGAAAAAGGAAATATGCCACTGCATTTAGCTGCACAATATGGTTTTGGCCCATTCTTTTGCTTTCAAATAAGGACATTCTTTTGATTTTTCTACATTTCAGATCATGTGAAAATCGGAGAAATCCTTCTTAACCATGGAGCTAACATCAGTGCATTTAGCACTGATGGATTCACAGCACTTCATCTAGCCGCTCAAAATGGTTTTTGATCCATAACTTTGATTTCGAACAATGATAATCGTTTTGAATTTTCAGATAATGGGAAAGTCGCAGAAATGCTCATTGAACACGGTGCCGATGTTAATGCTACAGGAAGCGACAATTGGATGCCAATTCATATGGCTGCACAGAATAGTTAATCGTCCTAATATCTTTGCGCTTCCAAACCAAGATAATCTTTTGATTGTTTTTTTCCACATTTCAGATTCCGTGAACGTTGCCGAAATCCTTCTCAATCATAGTGCTGACATCAGTGCTAAAAACAATGATGAATACAATCCACTTCATATTGTTGCTCAAAATGGTGACTAATAGTTAAAATTTTTTTTACTGGGGAATGATCCCAATACCTTTGCTTTCGAACACGGATAAAATCGTTTTTTGATTTTTCAGATAATGTGAGAGTCGCAGAAATCCTCATCAATCATGGTGCTGACGTGAATGCTACAGCAAACAGTGGAAATATGCCACTTCATATCGCTGCAAAAAATGGTAATCATTTGAACTCTTATTGTCAAACTCAAAATTGATTGATTTTGGTTCGTTAAAATGATCCAGGTCAAATAAAAGTCGCAGAAATTCTCATAAAACACGGCGCTGGCATCAATGCAAAAAATGATTTGGGACACACGGCGCTCCGTATCGCTATATCCACCGGTAATTAAATCCTACTTAAAATTACTTTATGATTGCGTTCGTTAATCTTTTGATTTTTGTTTTATGTTTTACCTTTACAACGATCAGGTAATGCGGGCTTCACTCTATTCCTCATTGAACATGCTGCCGACGTAAATATTAAAGACAATGAAGGAAGTATGTTACTTCATATCGCTATGCTATCGGATGAAGGTATAATTGCCTAGAATCTTACTTTTAAAACAAAAACAAACTTTTGATTTTGTTTCAATTCAAAATTCAGCTGATATGAATACCGTTAAATTTCTAATTGAAAACGGAGCCAACGTTAACGGTACAGATAACAAGAATGGATTCACACCACTTCATTTGGCTGCACAAAATGGTTTTTGATCCATAACATTGCTTTCAGAAACAGAAGACAATCGTTTTGATTCTTCTATTTTTGCAGATCATATAAAAGTCGCAGATTTCCTTATTAAACACGGTGCTTACATTAATGCCAAGGGCATAAAGAAATCGAC